TAATTGAGGTTAAAAAGCCAACTACTGTCAAATAGCCCGTTTCAATGTATATAACATCATTCAATAAAATAAAATACTTAGTTCTCATTCTCATATTAATCATGGAGTCAAGATGAAATTTTCAGAGACTGATGACAATATAATGTGTGTATGTGTGTATACTAACTATCATAAGTTTTTTCTTGCAACTATTTCAACTTTTAAAATTCCTTAGGATGTATTGAACAATCTTTGTATGCTATTCAAGAGACTAATAACTGCTTTGATACAAAGAATCCCAATGAAACTGTTAATTAGAGGTGTCAAGTATTAACCGGTTAACCGCCGATAATGCCTTGACCGGTCTGAGTTTTTATGGGCGGTTAGTTGACCGTGTATAATTCTGTTATTTCCCGCGCTTATTTTGCATGCTAATCCGTTTGGTTTTATGGTGTCAGTTTCACGTAAGCTACTCATACATGTCATAAGTCCCATAACTCCTTACAAACATCCAATCAGCAACTTTAATCCCTGCCACATTGCTTTCCCGCGCTTACTTTGCATTTTAATCTGTTTGTTTTTCAAGTGTCAGTTTCATGTGAGCTACTCATAGATGTGATAGGTCCGATAATTCCTTACAAACATCCAATCAGCAACTTTAATCCCTGCCACATTGCTTTCCCGCGCTTACTTACATAGAATAGCGTAAAGCTTGACGAACGTAAAAAATAAACGCCGATATATCATTTTTCCAATTTTTTTCAACTTTCAAGATCGAAGATGAAGATTTCATTTGAAATTATAAGTTCAAATTTCCCGCCGGTTAACCGACTTTAACCGGTAAAAACCCCCGGTTAACCGGTTAATGCTCAAGCGGTTAATTGACACCACTACTGTTAATACAGCAAAAATGAAAGAGCATGTCGAACTAACTAACCGTATTAATGCCGTGGTCACATTTGCTCCGATTTTCAGTACCGGCGCCCGGCCGATGAGTATTTTGTTCAAAATTGTATTCAGATTTGAACAAAATACTCAATCGGCCGGGCGCCATAGTGAAAATCAGTGCAAATGTGACCATGGCATAAGCGATGGAAATATATCAAATGAGAAAAAAATAAATCGATGATGGAAAACTTTTCGTACCTTGTGGCTGTGACTGTTGATGTATATGCTGATGGCCATGTGTACACTGTGTGGGGGGAGGGGTAGTATGTAGGTGGGGAGGGGGGCCAGCGTGCATATGCCCCACCCCGGGGCCCATACTATGATGGTGTGGGGGGTAGGGGCTCTGGTAGGGGGGATATCCAGGACCCCCATATGTGTTCTGTGAGTACATCTGCTGTGGACTACCATTTGGTCCCTGAAAACACAAAGAATTAAAACAGAATAATTTAACATGGAATTAATCTAACAATAATGTAACAAAGAAGTATTATTACAATTGGTAGAAAAATGTTTCAGCATTAAAACTCCTTAAATGAATTTGTCTAAAATCTTCAAAAACTTAAAATTGATCAGATACCACAAACAATTATTTTTATATTCTATTTTTTCCTTATAAGGAATAATTTGAGATTGCGGTCTTAAATCATCCACCTCACACTCACGGTGGGATTAATCAGCAGCGGAAATGAACAAACTGTTTACGCCACTAACCCATTAAAGACACAATAAGAGATTAAACAAGCAATCTAAATTATTAATTTATGACTACAATTCAAATAATTGTCTCTACAAAAAACAGACAGAATGAATTGAATAGTAAATAGTGAATTGCAGTAAAACCTGTGTAAGTGGAACACCTTTGATACCTCTGATAAGTGTTCCACTTGGGAGGTGTTCCACTTATAGAGGTTCATTTAACATTAAGTCAGTTGGTCATGGGACTCTGAAGTGTTCTACTGACAGAGGTGTTCTATTAACAGAGGTGTTAGACTTCTACATGTGTTCCAATCTATAGGTTTCACTGTAGCTAGATTTTGCACTAAATTGACTTAAGTTCAGCTTGACCTTGAAATAATGTCACGGTATTGATCCCTAGATTTAGGTCTAGAAACATGTCACAGATTTGGACATAGGAATCATTCACAATGGATCATTCAATGTTGAGTTATAAAGCACAGTAAATAAGCAATTTGATTGGCTGAGAATATTCATCCATAGTTGAACAATTTAAGTTTAATAACATTAACATTATTCTGACAACATTCTCAGAAACTACAGTCCACCGTAATATATTGTTATCACGGTTATGCCTAGGTCACATATGCTATGATCCATCGGCCGGCGCCCGACCAATTGAGTGTTATGTTCAATATTGTATTCAATTTCGAACAAAATACTCAATCGGCCGGGCGCCGTAGTGAAAATCGGAGCAAATGTGACCAAGGCATTAATAAGTTTAATTGAGGAAGCAACAAACAGTCACTGCCTATGACCTGTCAGTTTTGACCTGTCAGTTATGACCTGTCATCAATGACAGTCTCCAATCCCCCACAGAAGCCAATTAACTGTTTCATTTGAGATATCACAAACTTTGAGAAAGTTTTACAAAGTGCAAATTATGTTGATAGAGTTACTTTGTTTAGTCTGTCTAGGGACTCACAAAGTCCCTAATAAATTCTTACTCAACTTTTCATCAATCTCATGAGAAAGTCATCACACTGGGCATGACTGAATTGTGAAAAGCAGAGAAATAAGCATGATATATACTTAAACTGATGCATCATTAGCATTTCAGTTGAAAACACGAGAGAAACTATAATGTATTTTAAACTTTCATGAAAAATTGAAAAGAAAATGTAGGAATATGTAGATATTTTTAAGGGGGATATAATTTACTGGGAAAAAGTTGCAAAATGTTACTTGATATAAGAGCAAACAGGTCAGGTCCTGTAAACAGGCCAGCAACCTTAATTCCATGTAGACTTTGGTTTCTTTATTGCCTTCAAAAATCAGTAGATTTATTTTTTCTGTTGTTCACTTAACATTTAAACAAATGTTTTACTGAAAGAGAAACCATGGAACCATCTATGGTTTCTTTAGATCACCTTCAACCTAAAAATTGGTCAAGTTTTGTATATTTTGAAAACAGGTTGAAAGGAGGGGGAGGGACAAGGTTAGTTAGTTTGAAATTACTTTCAACCTTAAAAATTGGTCAAATGTTTTCATTCCTTGAATTTAAATATTTAGCTGTTGAAATTAACACGGGGTAAAGCAGACCCGATGATGCAATGAGCTTGCTCGACAGTATCATGACTGTGTAACGGGTCTTAATGTATAAGTGTGCTCGGCGGTAGGTTCAAACAACGCGGATCCTCAAAGCATATGCTCATGGTATATTCGTGTTTTAACACCCGTGATTAATAGCATTTAGGACAAAATCAAAAAAAAAATATTGACTTGGTTCCCTGAGTCTAACAGTTACTGTCTGGTTAAGTTCCTTTTTACTCAGAGATTTTTTATGATACAAGTAAAAAATAAATAAATGAGACTGTACACCTTCCGTTTCAATATTAATTTTGAGCCCCATGATATAGCCTATTTGAAACCAGTTAGGACTCATCCCAGGATTCGTCTACTCACCCCAACCCATATAAAAAGGTGTGAAACATGTTAATGCATTTTGCACGAGTAAGTCTGATGGAGTTCTTCCTAAAGTAATTACGAGACAACCCCCAAGTTGAAAAAAATAAAGAAAAAAATTCAGTCTGGTAAATTATATTGACACAACTTCAAAGCAAATTGTTATTTTTTATGGCCAGTTTTTTATTGTGTTGAGACCTCCTTTGTTCCTTTGACTCCTCATTCCTACCCCCCCCCCTTATGGCCAGTTTTTTATTGTGTTGAGGCCTCCTTTGTTCCTTTGACTCCTCATTCCTACCCCCTCCACCCCCCCCCCCCCCTAACACTGACTGACCCTATAAAGCTCAAAGCCCACCTACACAAAAACATAAATATTGCAACCTTTACACAAGGCCGAAGCCATTAATTCAATTATTTTGACATATTTAGTTCAGTGCAATTCCATTAGTGACAAATAACAGGCTCAATTGCTTACTTAAAAATTCTACAAATATCTACATTTTTCTCATTTTCTCCTCAAAATTTGAATACTTGATTTTCTGACATATAAATATAATTTACAGTACTAATATACTCATATGTCCTTCATTCCTTGTTCATTTCTCTCTTTTCCATTCTATTATGAATTTAAAAACATGACTACCTGATATTTTACATGTGGCCATATTGACAGACTCTTCAGGTAAAATGTAAGAGAAAATTCCCAAGGATAGAAGCTTACTAGGAGAAATTAACCAGATTTCAACTGAAACAATCGTAGTAATTGCCACGCTCTGTTTTTTCTTCGAAGTCATTAATTTATTTTGAAGTTAACAACATGTTTCACCTTTTCAATGTTTGATCAAAGAGCTTCCGTATCAGATTTGTGGGAAGATTTAAGTCGTTTGTTTCAAACTAAATCATGTGTTTTACCTCAATGTTTTTTTATTTGTTTTAACATGCATGAAAAGGGCAAAAGCTGATGCGTCTTCTACATCCTTCTCTTTGGAGATGAGATTTTGTGGTAAGATTTTATTTGTTTGTTTCAAATAATTTAATTGTATGTTTTACCTCAGAGTCAAATAAGTTGGTTCATGGACTCATGTGAAAATATTGATGCTTGTTCTATATCTGTTTGGAATTATAAGGAGTTAAATTATTTCACATTCATTTGCTAATGTGAAAAGAACGAAAGTTGCTAATCGTTCCACATCTGTCTGCTTTTCAAAAAGAGAAAAAGTTGCTCCTTGTTACACATCCGTCTGCTTTTCAAAAAGAGAAAAAGTTGCTACTTGTTTCATATCCGTCTGCTTCTCAAAAAGAGCAAAAGTTGCTACTTGCCTGATAACCTACATTAAGCGTGGGTCCACTAATGTTGCCAGAGGTCATCTGCGGAGATAAGATGACATGGGTAAGAATGCCGTTTTCGTCAACAATTTGTTGAACCATGTGACCTGGGGGCACCTGCATTGGCATCGGGACAGGCGGCCCGTTATTTGAGACCATTCTGACAGTGGCAGGACCTGAAACACACAAAGAGGATTCTTTAATCTAAGTAGTTTACAACAATAAAAATAATATGCATATATCCATGAATTCTTATAGATCAGAATGAACTTTTAAAAACAGGACTTGAAACAAAACGAAGATGATTTTTAAATCCAGGTAGTCTCCAAAGAGTTTGAAAAAATATGTGCATTCATTATCTATGTAGCCATATAGACCTGAAATAAAAATAGAAGAAATTATTAATACAGGTAGTCTCTGACATGTATGTGAGACTGACATGTTTTCCTCAAGAACAACAATATTTATTTTTGAAATACGAGTTTCCCATTTTTTGGACCACCCTGTACATATACTAGTAAAGTATATTAATAATCTATTTACTTCAATAAAACACTGATAAAGCATTAGTTTATTAATAAACAAAAGAACAACATCAATTAAATGTACACTTTATCCATTCAAGCGAGACAAACAGTTATTGATTTCCACAAATACAGACTTATTTCAATGTGTTGATTTGTATGTATTGAGCCATTAACTGGTATTAAACAACAAAACCTATAATGAAAGTAGCTACAACAAAGACCATGTTTCAAAACCAACAACAATCCATCCTCACTTTTCAAAACATACAACTTTTAAAGATAGTCACCGTTGTGATAGCCATTTAAACATGGAACAAACATTTGAAATTATCCATCTTTTTACTGGATTGTAAGAATCTAGATTTATGCATTTGGTGTTAAAGGCTAACTTAACATACTGTATATACTGTATATGTTTTTACTCTAGAGGCCTTTAGATTTAGATATGTTCAATCTTGCTTCGGGTCCTGGTGACCCCCCCCCCCTCCTAAACACTTCATTTTTGATGGTGAAGTACTCAAAACGAAGAGATTCAGATCGATACATCACTATATTCAATGTTTTTGAAGTAATACTAGTGTATAATTACTATATTTCACTAAACAATTTATGTATAACCTTATTAGTCACCTATCTGAACAAAAAAATATGTAAATATTTTGGGTAAGTTGTTATGCCCTATATTAATTAAGATACATACAATATACCTGACCCGTAGATGACACGACTTAAGGTCATCATGTCCTGTATAATTATCCAATTAACTAAATAACCTTAAGTTGACATGACTGGAAAACCATTCTGATACTAGTCACATCTTTCCGGTTCACAAGCTAGTTTATTTATTAAGATGACTGAAAAGTGATTCTTTTTTGACTGTGTATAGTAACACCTTCAATTCAAAATAAACACATTTTTCACCAAAATATAAATACTTATATATCTTGTAAATACAGTACAGTCGTGCATAATGAAATACCTAAAATCATTGACATTTTCATTGATGTTGTAGTTTTAGACAGTGAATTAGGAAAAACAAATAATTTATTCAAGTCAGGCCCCTAAAAACCTAGCAAAATGATTAGGGGCACATTTCTGTATGTATTCTCAAATCTATAAAATCTTAAGTCTATTGTCAAACAACAATGACATTATGGTATCCATAGTTACAACAACAGACTTAAGAATTTATAAGTTGAAAAATGCTGACAGAAATTTAAATATCCCCTTCCAGATAAAGATGAGAAAAAATGTTTGTAAAACAAGTCCCTGTTAATATATACAAATGAAAGACCTAAAAACCATAAAAACACTTAAAAGAGAAAAAGTTATTACCTGTCAGATAATACATAGCGACAAAATGGAAGTATAGGATATGCTTTAAAATTTTTTAGTTATGGAATTTCCTTTTCATGATAATGTAATGTTACGCAGCTGTTTCACGCCAATATGTCTTAAAAGTGGTGCCTTACTTCTTAATGTTTTCTTAGCTAAAAATAGCGTGATTTTCTATCCTTGGTCTAAGAATAACTTTGTTTTAGAAAGGCATCTCTTCTAAAATGTTTTCTTAAAGTAGCATGGTCTTAATATAGCATACTGTACTTCTACTTAATTTGGCGGCTGTTTAATTTGGTGGATCCGCCAAATTCAGTCGACACTGAATTCCCCGGTTAACTAAGTACCATGTAAATTGGTACCATTAGTACATTGTAATATTGCAAGTCTGCAAAATTAAATAACCACCAAATGTTCAAAACAGCAAATCCGCCAAAATAAGTAGTGTCAAATTAAGTCGAAGTACAGTACATCCAGACATCTATTTTTTATACTCTGTCTGAATGTACAAAGTAATCAACTGTAATCAAGGGGGGGGGGGGTGTTTATTCTGAAAGTCGTCACATCTTCTTTTTCTCAATCTGTAAACCTGTGATGGAAACTGCCACGTCTAGTCCATTTCTTTGCCTAGTTAGATAATCTTGCGATGAGAAGTGTAAAAAACAATTGGGAAAATATAAATGAAAGTGTTTGATACAAAACAACCAAAAACAAGGTATATGGAAAGCAATACCTATGATCTCTCACACTACATTTTGCTTGTTGTCAAAAATTCTTAAACGCCCCCCCCCCCCCATCCCTTCCTGTTTTCCCATACTATCCTAAGACTGCGCTAATATTTCCCAAATGCTGATAATTTATAGGATCAAACACCAGAACAAATAAAATCAAAAAATCACAGTGACCTAAGTATCATAAATTCAATTCTTTCAATTGTCTGATAACCCTACCAACCACTTCCTTTAAGTTAAGACTCACTTCAAAGGTAAACAGAACTATTCTTCTGAAGGTTTCAAGTGCTAAGAAATATGACTTCCCTTCAGTGATATTACTTATGTGAGGTCATACTTTAAAATAGGATACAGAGAGAAATGAGTGGAATCAGCAAGGAATAAAGTAAATAGACATGTAGTGAACACGAGAAATTGTATAGAAATGCAAGGAAATCAAACAGTTCAATCAAATTTTAGAGAGACAATGGAGAAGACATTAAAGAATAATATTTATACATTCGGTAAACATAGCATTGAACCCCTAAATCCGGGAGCACAAAACAAATTCGTAACAATTCATGTGAAGAACTTTTACAGAGCAATATAGATGAACAAGAAGGGGAATAACCCAGAATTCATCAATGAATCTATCTTAACCTTGAGGTTCATTTTTACATGTCGATAGTTCATCAGGCCTGTAGCCAGGGGGGTTCAATGGGTTTGAGCGAACCCCCCTGGCCAAACATTCTTTCAAAATCATGCAGTTTTTCATAATTCTGAGCACTTTTTAAGTGATTTGGGCCATTTTTGGACCAAAATTGTCAAAAGTGAACTCCCCTGGAATTTTCCATAAAGTGTTCATCAATGACTTCTGTATATATCCTCCTCTTCGGATGAACTTCAAAGGACGAACAGAAAATCAACATGAATCCATGAAGAACCCTAGGGTTTTTCATGCTTTGAATTCTTTTCTGACATATAGTAAGTCAAGATGACATCAATTGTTGTACAGCATATCATATAGCCTTGGAAAAAATATTTAAAAAGGGCACTAAGTTAAGTGTTTAAAGAGGCAACTGTGTCTCCTTTGTAGTGAAAAATATCAAAATCTATCAAATCCCATACCTTGAACAGGACATACAGTGATAAATATCATACTTGAAATTCAAAATGGCCACCTCGCTTAATTATCCAGCATGCTTAAAACCTAAATCGATATTGACACACAAATACTTTCCATGCACCCAAATGATATTCACTTGCACCCAATTGAATTGAAATACAATTGCGCCAATTTGAAATATGTTGCACCTTATTGAAATATGATTGCACCCCTGAAATATACTTGCATCTGATGGAAATATAATATAACATAATATGATATAATGTACAAAATAGATATATACTTGCACCTAATTGTACAATGTACCTTTTAGCCTAGATTCTCCTTAATATTTAATTAATGAGTATGTAACATTAGATAACAACTCGAATCTATTAAAATATAACATTATTTCGCACTTAATTATTCACGATTCACAATAATATTTATAATAACTCCAGGGCATCAGACAACTCAAAGATAACATATCTCTTTGTCGAATAAATATTCATGAAAAATGTAAAAGGACAACTTGACCGTTTTAGTCTAGCCTTATTGCCAGTGTAATTTATAGCAAGAGATTAAATCACAATACTGAGACTACGTGAACTGAAGTAGACACTCTCTTGCTAAAATGCAGGAAGAAATACAGGGTGTTCATAAAGTCTCTCTGGGGCTGAATTGAAGTAGGCACTCCCTTGCTAGAATGCAGGAAGAAATACAGGGTGTTCATAAAATCTCTCTGAAGCTGAATAGAAGTAGACACTCGCTTGATAGAATGCAGGAAGAAATACAGGGTGTTCATAAAGTCTCTCTGAGGCTGAATTGAAGTCGACACTCCCTTGCTAGAATGCAGGAAGAAATACAGGGTGTTCATAAAGTCTCTCTGAGGCTGAATTGAAGTAGGCATCCCTTGCTAGAATGCAGGAAGAAATACAGGGTGTTCATAAAGTCTCTCTGAGGCTGAATTGAAGTAGGCACTCTCTTGCTAGAATACAGGAAGAAATACAGGGTGTTCATAAAGTCTCTCTGAGGCTGAATTGAAGTAGACACTCCCTTGCTAGAATGCAGGAAGAAATACAGGGTGTTCATAAAGTCTCTCTGGGGCTGAATTGAAGTAGACACCCTTGCTAAAATACAGGAAGAAATACAGGGTGTTCATAAAGTCTCTCTGAGGCTGAATTGAAGTAGACACTCTTGCTAAAATACAGGAAGAAATACAGGGTGTTCATAAAGTCTCTCTGAGGCTGAATTGAAGTAGACACTCTTGCTAAAATACAGGAAGAAATACAGGGTGTTCATAAAGTCTCTCTGAGGCTGAATTGAAGTAGACACTCCCTTGCTAGAATGCAGGAAGAAATACAGGGTGTTCATAAAGTCTCTCTGGGGCTGAATTGAAGTAGACACTCTTGCTAAAATACAGGAAGAAATACAGGGTGTTCATAAAGTCTCTCTGAGGCTGAATTGAAGTAGACACTCTTGCTAAAATACAGGAAGAA